AAAATCTCAACTCAAATGATGCAAATATGAGCCTATAAGCTTAATTAGAGCTATTTATATGGTGTGATTAGCTTAGCCTAATCAAGTATGATTAAGGTTAAGTAATTAGGCTTAGTTCTAATTAATTCAATCAGTTTATTTTAATTATTTTGATCCAAATCAAATTTTAATTAAAGTTGTCATAAAATTCTAAATATTCTAATTAGTCTATTAACCTAATCAATTTTAGTTTTTGAAGCCGTTTAGGTTCTCAATTTCTGTCCCTAAGTCGTCAATTTGAACAGATAATCCATGTAACAACAGATAGCTATAAAATTAAACATGTAATCACACAATTAAATACACAATCATACAGTTAGGCTCATTAAAACAACATAATATACTAGTTCGGAGGTCGGGGTCATCACAGTCTCTCCCCCTTAGAAAGTTTGGTCCTCCAAACTTAAGTTACCTTTAGATGGAAACAAATGAAGATACCATTGCTGCATCTTTTCTTCCTCCTCCCAAGTGGCCTCCTTCCCATAATGTTTTGTCCACTCGACTTTCACCATAGGGATAGTTTTGTTTCGCAATTGCTTCACTTGCCGATCAATGATTTGCACGGGCCATTCTTTATACATCATATTCTTATCTAAAGCAATCCGGTGGTGATCAATCACATGGAATGGGTCTCTAAGATACCCACGACACATGGATTTGTGGAAGACATTATGCATTTGCTCCATTCCCAGGGGCAAAGCAATACGGTAAGCAACAGGACCTAACCTTTCAAGAATCTGAAACAGTCCAATATAGCGAGGAGTCAGTTTTCCCTTTTTGCCAAATCTCATTTGCCCCTTCATTGGTGTCACCTTGATGAATACATGATCTTCTACTTCGTATTCTAAGTCTTTCTTTCACTGATCCGCATAGCTTTTCTGTCGGCTCTATGCAGTTTTGAGCCTTTGCTGAATGATTTTGATCTTTTCAGTTGTCTCTTGCACAAGTTTAGTCCCATAAATAGCCCTATCACCAACCTTTGTTCAACAAATTGGTGATCTACATTTTCTGTCATACAGTGCCTCATATGGCACCATGCCGATGCTAGTGTAGAAACTATTATTATAAGCAAATTCAGCCAATGGTAAGTAAGTTTCCTAGCTACCCTGAAAATACAAAACACACATACGAAACATGTCTTCTAGGGTCTAAATAGTTCTTTTGGTTTGCCCATCGATATGTGGATGAAATGCTGTACTAAATCTCAATTCTGCTCCCATAGCATCCTGCAGACTATACTAAAATCTAGAAACAAATTTAGGATCCCTATTTGATACAATAGACACTGGGACTCCATGCAGTAGAATAATCTCATCAATGTAGATGGTAGCAAGTCTATATGCAGTAAATGAAGTCTTTACAGAAAGAAAATGAGCAGACTTAGTCAATCTATCGACTATAACCCAAATAGAGTCCATATTTCTAGGTGTCTGAGGTAGGCCAACAACAAAGTCCATGGTGATATGTTCCTATTTCCATTCTGGAATAGGAAGAGACCAAAGCAAACCTGCTGGCTTCTGATGCTCCGCTTTTACTTGCTGGCATTGTAAGCATGTAGAGTTGAAGTCGACAATCTCCCTTTTCATGTTGGGCCACCAATATACTAACTTCAAGTCTTGGTACATTTTGGTGTTTCCTGGATGCATAGCAAACATTGACTTATGAGCTTCCTACAAAATTTTCCTTTTTAAATCTACATTATTCGAAATACATAATCTCCTTTGATATTTCAACACGGAATCTTTAACTATGAACCCCGGTTTAGGCTTGGTGTCAAGTTCATCACAATTCTTTTTCAAAAGCTCATCATTCATTTATTTTTGCTTAATTTCCTCGATAATGGCAGACTGGGCAGACATTGCGGCTATCATGCTATCTTGTTTAAAAGGCACCATTTCAATTTCGAGTTTTTCAAACTCCAGTAGCAGTTCTCTTTGATCTATGAGCAAACAGGCAAGATTTTCCACATTCTTTCTGCTAAGTGCATCTACCACAGTATTGGCTTTGTCTAGATGATAGTGAATCTGCAGATCATAATCTTTGATTAATTCAGGCCATCACCTTTGACACATGTTCAATTCCTTCTGAGTGAAAAAGTATTTCAAGCTCTTATGATTTGTATACACTTCACATTTGGCCCCATACAAATAGTGACGCCATATCTTTAATGCAAACACCACTGCAGCAAGTTCTAAGTCATGTGTAGGGTATTTCTTTTCATGTGGCCTCAATTGTCGGGAGGCATATGCAATCATCTTGTCATTCTGCATTAAAACACAACCCAAGCCCTTATATGATGCATCACTAAAGATCATAAAACCTTCGGTACCTGAGGGGATAGTAAGAATTGGAGTTATGGTCAGTCTTGTCTTCAACTCTTGAAAGACTATTTCTCTCTAATCTGTACACTCAATCTCCCTTTTCATGTTGGGCCACCAATATACTAACTTAAAGTCTTGGCACATTTTGGTGTTTCCTGGATGCATAGCAAACATTGACTTATGAGCTTCCTACAAAATTTTCCTTTTTAAATCCACATCATTCGAAATACATAATCTCCTTTGATATTTCAACATGGAATCTTCAATTATGAACCCCGGTTTAGGCTTGGTGTCAAGTTCATCACAATTCTTTTTCAAAAGCTCATCATTCATTTATTTTTGCTTAATTTCCTTGATAATGGCAGGCTGGGCAGACATTGCGGCTATCATGCTATCTTGTTTAAAAGGCACCATTTCAATTTCGAGTTTTTCAAACTCCAGTAGCAGTTCTCGTTGATCTATGAGCAAACAGGCAAGATTCCCCACATTCTTTCTGCTAAGTGCATCTACCACAGTATTGGCTTTGCCCAGATGATAGTGAATTTGCAGATCATAATCTTTGATTAATTCAAGCCATCACCTTTGACACATGTTCAATTCCTTCTGAGTGAAAAAGTATTTCAAGCTCTTATGATTTGTATACACTTCACATTTGGCCCCATACAAATAGTGACGCCATATCTTTAATGCAAACACCACTGCAGCAAGTTACAAGTCATGTGTAGGGTAGTTCTTTTCGTGTGGCCTCAATTGTCAAGATGCATATGCAATCACCTTGCCATTCTGCATTAAAACACAACCCAAGCCCTTATAAGATGCATCACTAAAGATCACAAAACCTTTGGTACTTGAGGGAATAGTGAGAATTAGAGTTGTAGTCAGTCTTGTCTTCAGCTTTTGAAAGGCTATTTCTCTCTGATCTGTCCACTCAAATGGTTCCCCTTTCCGAGTTAATTGAGTCAATGGCATAGCAATTTTTGAAAAGTCTCTAACGAATCTCTGATAATAACCTGCCAATCCCATAAAACTACGAACTTCAGATACATTAGTTGGGGTAGGCCAATTAATGATTGCTTCAATTTTATGAGGATCCACAAATATACCATCCCTATTAATGATGTGTCCCAAAAATGCAATTCCATCAAGCCAAAATTCACACTTTTAAATTTCCCATACAATTGTTTTTCTCTAAGTGTTTGAAGAGTCATTCTTAGATGTTGTTCATGTTCATCCTTACTTTTGGAATAAATCAAGATGCCATCAATGAATACAACAACAAAGTCGTTTAGGAAAGGTTTGAAAATTTTGTTCATTAAATCCATAAATGCTGCGGGTGCATTTATAACTCCAAAAGGCATGACTAAAAACTTATAATGTCCATACCTGGTTCAGAAAGCAGTCTTTTCAATGTTCTCAGCCTTAACCTTCAGTTGATGATATCCCAATCTCAAGTCAATTTTTGAAAATATCTATGCCCCCTGCAACTGATCAAACAGGTCATCAATACGCGGCAAAAGGTATTTATTTTTCACCGTTACCTTGTTGAGTTCTCGGTAATCAATGCATAATCAAAGAGTGCTATCTTTCTTCTTCACAAAAAGTACTGGTTCGCCTCATGGTGATGTACTTGGTCTGATAAACCCCTTATCAAGCAATTCCAGCAATTGAGTTTTCAATTCTTTCATTTCAGTGGTAGACATGCGGTGGGGAGTTTTAGAAATTGGTGGTATTATATCAATTGTAAATTCAATCTCTTTATCAATAAGTTGGCCGGGAAATTCATCCGAAAACACATAAGGAAAATCTCTCCCCACTGGTATATTGTCTAGAGCAATGTCTACAGTTGGTTCAGTTATTACACTACACAAATACCCTTGAAAACCCTTATTTATTAGTTTTTGGGCTTTCATGGTAGATATGAGGTATAGTGGTGAAACTACCCATTTTCCCTCAAAATAAAATTCATCTTGTTCGGGAGATCGGAATATTACTCATTTCAAAGCACAATCAATAGTTGCATAGTATTTAGCTAGCCAATCCATACACAAAACAACATCAAAATGTCCTATGTCTAAAGGTATTAAATCAGCATACAAAACAGCATTCTTGAGAAATAATTCACATGCAACAAATATAGTTGAACATAGTATGGATCCCCCCGTAGGTGATGCAACACATAGTATATAATTCAATGTTTCCATGGGTCTATTCAAAGTTTCAGCAAAAGCTATAGAAACAAACGAATGTGTAGACCCTGAATCAATTAAAGTATAAGCATGTTTACCACAAATGGAGATTGTACCTGACACTACAGCCTCAGTATTTTGAGTATCCTCCATAATCAGTGCAAAAACTCTTCCTTGCCTTTGTTCATTTCTTGTGGTAGACGGTGTTGCAGCTAGTCTTGTTATGGGAACTGACTCGGTTGCCCACCTGATATGATTGTGGACAATCCTTGGCGATGTGCCTAAACTTCCCACAGTGATAACAAGCCCTTGATGCATGGTAGAAAACATCCCAATGTTTCCTTCCACATGTGGTACAAGTTGGCGTTGAATTACCACTTTGGCTTGAACCAGTATTGCTAGAATTCCCGGATTTGAACTTCTTATTTGTTGTCGTAGTCCCTTTATTGAAATTCTATTTTCTGCCTTTCCATTCGAAGTTCTGTTTATGGTTGGCCACATTTCTCTTTGCTATCAGTGCCCTATCAAGTACATCCACGTACGTCTGTAATTTGAGCACATTGATTTTATTCAAAATTGGGTCACGCAAACCTCCCTTAAATTGTCTAGCTTTCTTGTAGTCTGTATCTACCATATGGGGTGCGAAGCGAGCGAATTTTGTAAATTGAGCCTCATACTTGGCAATTGATTTGTTTCCCTGCTTGAGTTCCATAAATTCAGATACTTTTATATCCCACACACATTGAGGAAAGTATTTCTCGTGAAAGATTTCTAGGAAACGGGCCCAGGTAACATCTTTATTATCATCTCGAACCAACATCCACCAACGCCTTGCATCATCTTCCAATGTAAATGCAGCTAGTTGTACCTTTTGAGCTTCGGTATATGGGAACACTTCAAACAATTTCTCAATCCCTAAGACCCAAGCCTCGGCCTTCAATGGTTCAATTCCACCATGAAACACTAGTGGCTTCATCTTTTTAAATTCTCTAGTCAAAGTAACAGTATAGGTCTTCGGCCGATACCCTGGAGCTGGAGGTGGTACAGACATTGGAGGTGGAGGTGGTAGTTGTTGTTGTTGTTGTTGCCACTGCTATTGTTGCCTTATGGCTTTAGCCATATCCGGCATCATTCGTTCCATTCTATCCAATCTTGAGGAGGTTGCCTCCTCTAGCTTATCGCCCTTTGTCCTCACCATTTTCTATATAAAACTTGTATTATGATAAGCACAACAAATAAAACATATCTACATGTATAAATTCAAAACATGTAATCATACCATTGTCTCATTCTAGTATTTAAATACACATGAATGCAATCTTGAAGTCTCTTCAAGACCCTCTATAGCTCAATGGACAAGTGAGTGGGATATAACTCGTGCTCTGATACCACTCTGTTAGGACCCAAACCCACCCCTATAGGTTTAGCGTCATGACCGGCCAGTAATCATAGATTACCTAACATCCATGTACATCTGTAATTTGAGCACATTGATTTTATCCAAAATTGGGTCACGCAAACCTCCCTCAAATTGTCTAGCTTTCTTGTAGTTCGAATCTACCATATGGGGTGCGAAGCGAGCTAATTCTGTAAATTGAGCCTCATACTCGGCAATTGATTTGTTTCCTTGCTTGAGTTCCATAAATTCAGATACTTTTATATCCCACACACATTGAGAAAAGTATTTCTCGTAAAAGATTTCTAGGAAACGGGCCTAGGTAACATCTTTATTATCATCTCGAACCAACATCCACCAACGCCTTGCATCATCTTCCAATGTAAATGCAGCTAGTTGTACCTTTTGAGCTTCGGTATATGGGAACACTTCAAACAATTTCTCAATCCCTAAGACCCAAGCCTCGGCCTTCAATGGTTCAATTCCACCATGAAACACTGGTGGCTTCATTTTTTTAAATTCTCTAGTCAAAGTAATAGTATAGGTCTTCGGCCGACACCCTGGAGCTGGAGGTGGTACAGGCATTGGAGGTGGGGGTGGTGGTTGTTGTTGTTGTTGTTGTTGTTGTTGCCACTGCTATTGTTGCCTTATGACTTTAGCCATATCCGGCATCATTCGTTCCATTCTATCCAATCTTGAGGAGGTTGCCTCCTCTAGCTCATCGCCCTTTGTCCTTACCATTTTCTATATAAAACTTGTATTATGATAAGCACAACAAATAAAACATATCTACATGTATAAATTCAAAACATGTAATCATACCATTGTCTCATTCTAGTATTTAAATACACATGAATGCAATCCTGAAGTCTCTTCAGGACCGTCTATAGCTCAATAGACAAGTGAGTGGGATATAACTCATACTCTGATACCACTCTGTTAGGACCCAAACCCACCCCTATAGGTTTAGCGTCATGACCGGCCAGTAATCATAGATTACCTATGGCCTCCATACAAATGAACCTCTTAATATAAAGTACGGGGCTTAGTGGAAGTCTAAAATAACATAGAAATCACCCATTGAGCTGTGCGTATATGCGAAGAACTAATATAATAAGCAACATATTGTTTCAAAAGTACATTTATCACCATTGTACAAAATTCATGTCTTACAAATATACAAGCCCCAACAATGCACAAGTACAAAATCACTAAACAAACAAAAAGGGGTTCAACTAGCATGGCTCCACCTGAGCCTGATGACTTAACTTGGAAGCTCCTCAAAAGGCTGACCTGGGTAGACTCGAGGCTTTCCTAACTTTGAGGTTCAGCTTGCCAACCTACATATATATATATATATATATATATAAACAAATAGTGAGTTGGAACCCAGTGAGTAATAACAGAATAAAGAGGTTATATGAATGAAGCTTAATAATATTGCCAAACCAAATTTCATTTTATCATCAAGATTCTTTCAATATCATTTTATGTGGTATATCCATGAAGTGACAACATTCCAATGATAATTGACCATACTAGCCATGGTATTGTTACCCCCAGGCAAGGGCCTAGCTTCAATGGATGCCACAAATACATTTTGAAAATGAACTTTATTCATCAACACAAAATAACTTTTCAATAATCATCCAATCAATCACATATTGATTTTAAGAATAATAATAATTTCAAAGATAATATTACTTGAACATATCTTTATAAAGTTACTACTCACAATGGTTTGAGTTGTCACTAAGCCTTGGACGTCCACCTAAACAAAACACATAACAGAAGTACAGTTGAAGAACCAATTCGTTTTAATTAATTTCTTCTCATGTGTTTATAACTCATTCTATGATTACATGAGTCTAAATGGTGCCTAAGAACACTTGGAATGGCATGAGGATGCAATTATGCACTTAAAAGAGCTTATCAAAATTTGCTAAAAACAGGGTCTCTGCTTGAGCGTAACTTCCTTCGCTCGAGCGGGAGCTCAAAATAAAGGTGGTCGCTCGGGCGCAATTTCTGCCACTCGAGTAGAAGACTGAGTAAAAAGGGTCCTCACTTGAGTGCCACTTTAGTCGCTCGAGCGGCCTGTATAATTTTGCAAAACTTTTGGGAGCTCGATTTTCACGCTCGAGCGACACTTTCTCCGCTCGAACAGACATGACGAATTCTGGAATTTTCAGAACTGTGTTCGAAGTTCAAACATGATATTGAAAGCCTCAAAACTTATGTTTTTGGTACAAAAACATGGAGAATCATTATACAACATGAAAATACTTCCAATTGGAAACCATTTATTCAAAATCATGCCCCAATTGTCCAAATTTGAGCTTATACTATCAAGTTAAAACCATGCATGTTATGGATTGAGTCCTTTTCACGTTAAAACACCACTAAGTGATATGAAATGCATGAATTCATAGATGATGTTCAAGTTCATGCCTCTTAAGCTTCATGCATGTATGAATTTCAAGAAATCTTAACTCAAAGACGAATGATTAAGCATGGATGTGCATAATTCAACTCAAATTCATCATATTCATGGTAATTCATGCTCAATGTACTCAAATTCAAGCAAATGTTCCTATAACTCCATGAATTTAGTTTCTACATGTCTTGATTCCAAGAATTTGGGTTGAATTTCATACCTAATGTGTGAATGCAAGTGTTGTATAGCTTAATTCTTCAATTCTTCACAATTTCCTTCAAGCTTTCCTATCTCTATCTCTAGATGTTGAGCTCTTTCTTGTTCTCTCTCAAAATCTCAACTCAAATGATGTAAATATGAGCCTTTAAGCTTAATTATAGCTATTTATATGGTGTGATTAGTTTAGCCTAATCAAGTATGATGAATGTTAAGTAATTAGGCTCAATTCTAATTAATTCAATCAGTTTATTCTAATTATTTTGATCCAAATCAAATTTTAATTAAGGTTGTCATAAAATTCTAAATATTCTAATTAGTCTATTAACCTGATCAATTTCAGTTTCTGAAGCCGTTTAGGTTCTCAATTTCTGTCCCTAAGTCGTCAATTTGAACAGATAATCCATGTAATAACAAATAGCTATAAAATTAAACATGTAATCATATAATTAAACACACAATCATACAATTAGGCTCATTAAAACAACATAATATACTAGTTCGGAGGTCGAGGTCGTCACAGATATCAAACCAATCAACAAAGGGTCCTTTAAATATACTAGAGGCAGAGCCAAACCGCGGGCACCAACTTCTTTTTCACAGGCGCGGTCTCTGCTCAATGTGCCTTTGCGGGTTGTGGAGAAAGGTACCAAGAGCCGGAGTTTTGAACATTCGATATCGCGAGCGCGAATATTATGGTCACGGGTCCGATTGCCTTATTCACGGGCGCAAGGTATAAGTTCGCGGACTCTGCACCATGCTTTTGATTCCTATTTTTCCTTCCATGATTTAAGGCACATTTTCATCAGATAACCAGCCTTCTTATGCCTGTGCTTGCCATCCCAACTTGCACAAGATTTTGACCATCTTTTCACAAAAAAGTTAGATTAAATATATATAATAAAATATTGCACAATCAATTACCAATATGAGATGAGAAACACATGTTTGATCATTTAAATCTATGAGTATGCTTTTGTCAAACTTTTCCACAAACACCAATTCGATTATTTCAAGGTGGATAAGACAATAATATAATAAACATGGTGATCATGTCTTTGAAGCAAATGAAATATATACAAAACCAAACTAATCAAAATACCTTGAATCAATAGTAAAAAATAAGTTTTGTCAAAAGGTATTTCCAAAACACGACTCATTAAATTTCTTAGGATAAAAATCCTAAAAATCTCCCTATTTCACAATGTTAGGACAAAACTTCATAAGTCATTTCAACACAAGATTTCTTGATTCAAGCAACAAATAAGACAAAAATGATTTAAATAAAAAATAATGATTTTGTCTTTGGAGCAGGATTGTAATGCACAAAATTAAGATTGAAAATCCTAACAATCTCCCCCTTTGGTAATTCCATTACAAACACAAAATGCTCCCACAAGCAAGGAAACTCCCTCTAAACATAAAACCTATTTCCCCCCCCCCTTTGTTGCTCTTTGTTCTCTCATTTTCTAGCAACTTCAGCCCTTCTCGAAATTGAACTCATCTTCTTCAACACATCTGACCCAATATTCTATAGCTAGGACTTTTCCTACATGTTTGGTGACAATGTTGTCAAGTGATCTCCAAACTTGTTGTGGGCATTTGGAATCTTCAATATACTTCGAAAACTTTGAATGTATTGACTTTTTTAATAGTCAAAGTAATCTTTTTTTTTTCTTGTCTTGAATTCTTCTAGGCAATCGTCTATACAAGAAGTATTTTGAGAACACGTCTTCGAGACCACATATTCCGAAGTAAGTATAAAGCTCAATCTCCCTTCTCTGATAATTAGAGAACATTAATTTTTCTCTCGTTTCGTACTCCATTTTTTATGGCTGGTCTTCAAATAAAATCTGCAATTTTTATGAATTAAATTTGCAAATTTTGACCGCATGGATGTGTTCACAATGATCCAAATAGTTAGAAACGATTATTGGATTCTTGTAATCGAACTCTAGATGGCTTAGATTTAGCCAAAAATAATTTGATGGTTTAGATCTATTGA